GTTTCATTACAGAACAGGACTGTTTGTGCTCTCAGGTTCATCCGGGAGACAAACAGGTGATTTTGTAAAAGTTCAGTGTTCTGCTCTAAACATGTGGACCTGCAGTCAAAGTGACGTGAAAACACGTAAATGAAAAATAATTCATTTAGAATTTTAATACTCTTTGGCGACACTGTTCTCCTTGGTTTTCCTCAAACACTACGGGACCAGAATGTGCTCATGTTGCAACAAGTTGAACATGCTCGTAGATAAACAATCATTCACAGCTTAGTACAATCTGGAAGGAATTAAAAATGTTCTGATTAACATTCGATTCTTATGTTATGACCAGAATTAAACCCTTTCTTCATTTGTTTAAAGAACTATCTGCAATGCACAAGTTATAAATGTTTAAAAACTTTTCTGCAGAACCTCCTTTCAAAAGAACTGAGTTATCCCTTGACAAGGTGATTAACCAGTCTAAGTGGAGGCGAGCTGCAGTTTCTGCAGAGGCAGCACTTTTCAAACTGTCACAGTCAGCTAGATGTGAAGAAAGTCACACAGCTGTCAAAGAAGTGTATGACACACAATCAGCATGATGTTTGTTGTGTCTGTGTTTGCATAATGCAGTGATGTTTGCTGTGTCTGTGTGTGCATGTTGTGTCTGTGCATGCACTTTGTGTCTGTGTGTGCATGCTGCAGTGATGTGTGTTGTGTCTTTGTGTGCATGTTGTGTCTGTGCATGCACTTTGTGCCTGTGTGTGCATATTGCAGTGATATTTGTTGGGTTTGTGTGTGCACGTTGCACTGATGTTTGTTTTGTCTGTGTGTGCACATTACAGCAAAGTTTGTTGTGTATGTGTGTGCACATTATGTCTGTGGGTGCACATTGCAGTGATGTTTGTTGTGTATGTGTGTGCACATTGCAGTGATGTTTGTTGTGTATGTGTGTGGATCTTATGTCTGTGGGTGCACATTGTAGTGATACTTGTTGTGTCCGTGTGTGCACATTATGTCTGTGCGTGTACTTTGCACTGATATTTGTTGTGTCTGTGTGTGGATGTTATGTCGGTGTATGAATGCTGCATTAATGTTTGATGTGTCTGTGTTCATGTTGTGTCTGTGTGTGCAAGTTGCAGTGATATTTGTAGTGGCAAGGTGTGCACACTGCAGTAATGTTTGTTGTGTCTGTGTGTGCAAGTTATACCTATGTGTGCACGTTGCAGTTACATTTGTTGTGTCTGTGTGTCCACACTGCAGTGATGTTTGTTGTTTGTGCACGTTATGTCTGTGTGTGCATGTTGCAGTGATATTTGTAGTGTCTATGTGTACACACTGCAGTGATGTTTGTTGCATCTGTGTATGCACATTGTAGTGATGTTTTTTGTGTCTGTGTGTGCACGTCGTGTCTGTGCGTGCACGTTGCAGTTACATTTGTTGTTTCTGTGTGTATGCAGCAGTGATGTTTGTTGTGTGTGCACACTGTAGTGAAGTTTGTTGTTCGTCTGTGCATATTGTAATGATGTTTGTTGTGTCAGTGTGTGCACGCTGCAGTGATAACAGAACAAACAAATGTCACTGAGCACATTGTATTAAGTCATTTGCTCTGGTAAAGAATGGAAAGGCCTTCCTTTGTCAGTTCCAGGCTAAACAGCTACAGCTCTCACTGCGTTCTGCATTTGTTCTGTCCCTTCCTGTTCCCACGGCACCGGTTATCTGCACACGCCAAGTCTGAGCAGGCGTGACACATTGATCTACTGTGAACCCGTGACATATCTGTGGGCTTCAAACCTGCAACACTCAGCGTCTGTTTCTGTGTGTGTCTGACTACACATGCTTATCAATGCAAGACTACTGTATTAGTTTTAGTCAGGCACACTGCTACTTCACCTAATGATGAACCCTGATACAGGAGTTCAGTTTTATGCACAAAATTATAGAAGTTGTGTACCAAACTATGACAAACAGTAGACCTTTGAAAGTGATCATAGTTAAAAACAAATATATCTGCAAATGATGATGAGACCTCATTCTGTGTGCTCGGGCAGCTCCACCAACCTGCGAATGTGCACGTTCAACCATGCTACAATTCCTCTCTTTTCTTATTTGCTCTGGGCAGGGAACAACAAACAGCCAAATGTCAAATAATACATTTACTGGCACACTAGCTGCTGTAAGGCAACCCAACCTTTATCCTCTTTTCAATGTTTCTTTTTGAGAAGCAGTTTGTAAGAGATCTAAAACCGGAGAAACACATAGGCTGCAGAACATTCTGATCTGTCGATCTCCTAAAACTGAGAAATAGGAACATGAACTCAATGACTGGACTATTTCAGATGGTAATTTATTATTTGTATTATGAAAATAATGTTGAAACAATTTCATCTACCATTTTGATGTTGAAATGTTGATATTAATTATTATGCTCTATGGACATAGATGAAGTTTGTCCATCTGTTTTACAACTTTTTGGTAGTTTTTATTATTAAGTTCTAACCATGGTCTTCAAAGACCAAATCAAATATGTGTATCTACATTTTTTCAGTGGATGGAAAATATTTATTGTCAAAAAGCAAGAATCTTCTTATCTATCTAGAAATATTAATTCAGGCTAAGTTCAGAATCATGAAAGGCGTTGTCTATGAATATGAATTTATAATATGATCACAAACGAACACTGACAGTAAATTTAGTTCAAGTTAGCTAAAGGAAGGCTATGATCTTCCAGAAGCACATAAAGTACAGTTATGTTGTGAAAAGGATCCAAATGCATGCGTGTAGGCAGGTTCAGACCTTGAATTATTGAACAAAGTCAAAGGCAAGAGGAATCTAACTGCAAAGAAACATGATCAGATAACATGAAAGAAAACAAGCATTAACAAGAGTAGAGCATACGGCTCATTATACGCCCATCCACAACTATTAGACAGCTATCTATAGCAATAGTCTGGTCAAGCAAAGCCACTATTTTAACTATGAACTTGATTTGTGACCCTGATCTTGGAGCTGGGGTGATGAAAAGAGCACATGACACTCCGTCTAGTGATGATGCACAAGTGTATCAGTTAATTTATCTTGAGCCAAATGTGGTTAGAACTTAGTTTATGTGCATATGAACGTATGTACAGACAGACTGAGACTATACTATTATATGTCCCACCTTCAACGGGCAAATAAAAACCAGTCTTACAAGCACTACGAAAAACCAGTAAGACTAATGGAAAGATTACTGTCACGAGGAAGACACGATCATTAAAGACCTAGTGTAAGCTCTTAGTCACCCAGGACAAGCTAAGTCCAAATAAGTTTAAAAAGTTGTTGACTCCAGTTGTCTTAAATGTAATATGTTAGAAAGGGTATGGTGTTCAGTAGAAGCTGGGGGCAAGGATAGCAGAAAAACAAAACCACAAATGACAACAAAAAAGGTTGAATCATGTCATCTGGACTTCGTTTTTTTTTTTTTTTTTTTGTTAAAAAAGAAACGTTTCGCCCCTCATCCAAGAGGCTTCGTCAGTCTGAGGCCTAGCCATCTGGTATTACCCAGAAGCCACCCTGACTCTTGTGTTTCAAGCCTGCCTCAAATACCCCTGAAGTCTGGCCACAAATGGTTTTGTTCAGCTCAGGCTGCTGTCACTGCTTCTCCACATCAAATGAAGCTAGTTGTTATGGTTCACATTCCCCAGTAGAAGGTCCTCTTCCTGTCTCCCACACCAAGTACGTTGAGATCTTTGGCAGAGATCCAGAACCCAGAAAATATTATTTCTTACAGTTGGCTTGTGAACAACTAAAGAGTCATCTTGGGTGAGCTGAAAGAGTAAGCTGAGGACCAGAAGGTCTGCTGGATTTCTGCTTAGATGGGTGCTGAAGATTTGTTTGTTCCAAATA